ATCTCAGGTTGTTATTTTTATGGTATATATTAAAATGTATGTTACAACCACAACTAACACAACCAAACAACTTTTTTCAAGCATAAAGGTTGCAACATTGTATACAATGTATTTCAAACAATGTATTTCAAACGAAAAACCTACATTTTCATCAACCCAGAGTGATACGTCTTAAACCTGATGAAACACAGCGAGTGGATGTGGATGTGGAGGTGGAGGTTAGCATATAAACAAAATCCACATAATAGAAAAGATTCACACTTGACACAACAAGCCGTTAACAGCAGCTTTACCTGTGTAAAAAACCCTTTTGTTCCGGTATACATTATATTTTCAAACTGGCCTGGTTTCCATCCAAGGGCAACCATGCTTCGAAAACAACTCAATGACCTATTGTGTGGCCAACAAGCCTTTATGTTGTGGGAGGAAGCTGGAATACCTTTAGAAAGATACACAAGAATGACATCCGGGCTCAGAATACACTCCCACTCTTGAATAAAAGCGCTCAAACCATCAGCGTGCAGCTCATAAATAAACCTTCCTATTTTTATTGATGCTGCACACAGTTGGATAGCTTCAGTATTTGTGGTAGCAGTTCTTTTCCGCAAGAATTTTCCCTCACTAAGCTCCGTCTCTCCCTCCTCTTTCTCCTCCTCTGAGTCTCCAGTCTCCGCCAATCTCCTGCCCATCGCAACATCAGACTAAAATATCTGTGATGAAGACATCTGCCGGACAGCTTGTCAGGGGGGCTGGAAATGGAAATGGAGAAACTGCAGCAATCTGAACGATGTGTCTGTGCCAGAATTACAACGTACTTCATTACAGGCGCGGACGAACAGATATGGCATCTGACGAAAAGTACATATCTGTCTTGGATTCATGCTCTAAGTACTACGCACCACTACATTCCCATTAAGGCAGGAAGGATGCCGGAGAGAACAGACACGAGCAGCTCCTCAAGGCACAAAAATGTTTTAAGCGACTGAAAAAAAAAAATTATACAAACCGTTAAAATGGCCACAAAAAGGGAAATATCCAGTTTCTTCCCTGTGTGCTCTTACTACTGTCCTGTATGTGTACTGCAACATTGAAATTTCCCCACTGTGGGACGAACAAAGCTCTTATCTTGAGTATGTAAATGTCTGTTTAAAGTTTATCCATGCTAAAACTATCCCACGACTCGTTTTGGTCAGCCAACTCTCAGCTTAAGTTCCTTTGAAGGCTACAAAATGTAAATGTGGGTGGCGATAACTACATACTAAAGTAACCAGCAATGCCACAGAATTCAAACTCAAAATGTAAAAGTTAGTTCACTAAGGAAAAGGCCTGTTCCATGAGTGAGCAGATTTATGATCTCCTTAATTTGTAAGTTCAAGATTGTTTCCAATTCTAATATGAATATACTTGTGTTGGGTATTTAAAAAAACATAAATATTTATAGCAAAGAACATCAACAATTTCATGATCACAAGTGTGTGTTGCTTCTTGCTGTGGGCGGCACGGTGGCTGAGTGGATAGCACTCTCGCCTCTCAGCAAGAAGGTCCTGGGTTCGAATCCCGGTTGGACCAGGGCCTTTCTGAGTGGAGTTTGCATGTTCTCCCCGTGTCTGCGTAGGTTTCCTCCGGGTGCTCCGGTTTCCCCTACCACTAAAAATATGTACAATAGGTCTGGCATGTGCCTCCTGTACTGGCACCCCCACTCCAAAAAATAACAATTGTAAACTGCTTTGAGACTCCGATGTGCAGTGAAAAGGCGGTATATAAATAAATAAAGATTACTTACTTCTTGCCAGCCATAGAATATTTCTCGCAGCACTGGGTGAAATGCCAAGATTATAGTGAGTTTCTATGAGCTACTGCCCTCCAGATTTACTGTGGATGTGCAAAATCACTGTATGTAAACGTTCCCAGTGTTAATACTAGCATGGGCCTTCTGCTGGTGGCTACGTGGTGCCACATCACCACATATCGTACTGAATGTTGGAAGAAAATCACAATATTATGAAGCAGCCACTGCTATTAGTTCTACCACTGCTCCTGCTGCTGGAAGTACATGCTCAGCTCGAATATTTGGTATTTCAGTAAAACTCATCTTTTGGCAGAACAGACACCATTGGCGCTCACATGAGGAAAGCCTGAGCTAACCAAAAATAAGGGGTGCCATTCTGCATCTGACACTCACCATTTCAGACTAAGTGCCCAACTGTCTTTGCTCAGGAGATAAACATGGAACTATCTACTTGTAATGGATAGCATTTGAATAAAGATAAATATTTAAAACTTGTTTTGTTCCAACAGAAAGAGTCTTGTCAAAAAGGACCATCAGTAATGTTTTAATCTTAAATTATATCCAAAAATGTTATATGTGTAACAAGATACAGTGATAGGTCAACCTGTACCAATTAGAAAAAATTGTCGTCAGCAAATTTTTATTTCTATAGCACCTGTGGGATGGGATGGATTGTTTTAGCAAAGAGGAAGTCCTGACTGAAAGATTTAGACAGATTTATGACCAAATGGCCGCGTTTATGTGTGTTGATATATTTGTACTCTACTGCAGAAAACTTCCGGATGCTTGAGAGCATGGAGAGAATTATTCAAAGTGATTCTATAGACTATCAAAGTCCTACACAAGACTCTGCTCTGGAGAACATTCAGAAATGCTTCAGCACCCCCTGGTTCTAACAGCACTTCCTTGTAATTTAACAACTATGAAGTTTTAAATTCAGGTCCTTGTGAATTTTTCAAAAGCCGTGCTGCAGTTAAAGCGCCATTAAAGCACAACAGCTGAACTCTTAGCACACTGCATTATAGATGATTTCACAAGGTCTTTATTGTGCTTACCTGGGAGACAGGAGAGAGAATTTGAGTCCAATGCATATGTCATACAGCACCGTATGGCATATGAAGTGGCCTTTGGAGCCCGAACTAAAGAGAGGAGGGTCAAAGTTTTGAATGATTGGAAAACTTGAAAAGTCAGATGACTACAACTTTTCCAGACAAGATGAAGACTGTCACAACAAAAGCAAATGCAAGATTGAATGGTGTTCAAGAAACTGTAGGAAGATTCAACAACTTCATTAGTGCCGGATTAGGTAAAACTGTGCCTCTAATGTGCATAATATGTGTGATGTGACATATGACATTATCTCAATTCAAACCACATTACTTCAGCAGAGCTCAAATTAAACAATGGAAATTATTATGGTATTTGTCAAATCTGCCATGTTTTGTGCAACTGAGCTTGGATAAATTAGACAGACCAATATAGAGCAGACAAACGAGCTGTGGGACAACCTCATAATCATAAGCTTCTGAGCAGTGATGGGAAATACATTTTGGGTATTGGAAAAACACTTATGAGCTTTTAATTCACCAAATCAAACTCACCAATGGGTTACAGTAGGCCTGTCCAAAGTCTGTGGGATCAGAAACACAAGTTCCCAGTGACATCCCAGCCAACTCCAGCTCAGCAAAGAGCACCTTGATGTGAAGCTCTGACCTACTTCAATCCATTTGTATATTTGTCTAGTGTAATTTGGTTGTGACCATTTCACAAAGTAAACATTTGTCATTCAGCCAACTTCAGCTTTGTAAATTGTTAATCAAAGTGTGTGTCCAACCACATTTTCAACCTCAAAATAGCCCCAGATCACTAAGTTTTACAATTCGGACCCTATTTTCTTTCTTTTTTTATCTTAGTTTCTTTATTTCTTTGTATGACTTTTATTTAACCAGGAGAGTCCCACTGAGAGAAACCTACGCAGACACAGAGAGAACAAACTCAACGCAGAAAGGCCTTGGAAAGAAGGTGGAATTAAAGTGCCATTGTTCCGCCCATTTTAAATTGTTGTTCATAGTTTCACTTTTGTTTATTTTTTGTTAAAGAAAAAAAAAACATTTGCATACGTGTTCTTACAAATCTGACTTGGATTCTTGTCTTGCGTCTCTCTCATGGGCAGAGTCCTGGACCTCAGTTCATTAGCACGGCCTCCAACCACTGCTGAGGCTGAGTGTTAGAAGGCCTGATGTAAATGTGGCTGGATGGGGGAGAGTCACAGGTATCTCCAAGCTGTCAGAGCAGCAGCAGCAGCAGCAGCACCGCACACTGAGCCTCTCATCACCCGCTCTTCCCCGGGGGGCAGCATCTGAAGCCGGCTCCCTCTCTAATTACCCATGGGCCCCCCTAATGCTCCAGCTGTTTGGACAAGTGGGACCACACCGGAGCAGGAGGTGCAGGAGAAAGTTTGGATGTGAAGTAGACCCTGATTAAAAGTTTAAAACCAAGTCAGGAAACAATGAAACTATGATGAAGTTCAATGTTCAACTTTTTTTCTAAAGGTTTGTGTAGAGGTTTTACAGCGGACAAAAACAGGCGGACAAACAGACCGAGATCATTTCAATACCCCTGTTTGCGGGCTGAACCATTTCCTTTGTTATTGTTTATCAATCACGTTTAATTTCCTATTAAAAGTGTATTTAAAAGAGGTGCTACTGTCTGGCTGTCACTACACAACTGAGCTTTTGTGTGAGATTCTCAGGGATGGGGGGGGTCTAAAAAACCTCCAATATTTTACCTTTTTACCACATGAATTCAAATTTAGACAAACTTCAAATGCCAAAACTTTTCATGTTCATGTAAGAGCTTACAGAAAGTTTCATTATCCCACTATGCATGAGCCAATTGTTTGGAATTCACAAGTGATGCATCCAAAAACGTACTTGGATTTTGACAAGTATTCTCCGAGGAGGTATGCAGAACACAGAGGGAGAGAGACGGAAGGATTGATCTCCTCCGCTCCACTGTTTGCCAAATGGATTAGACGATTGGCAGTTTGACAAGTGACCGACTGACGCTGATTGATTGATCAGCAGCTGACTGGAGCCCTCTGACAAACAACAGGACAAAAGGCTTCACAAATGGACTGATGATTGATCGTCCTTGCCGGCGGCGGGATAGGCCGATAGTAGTGGGATAGGCAAATGTGGGGTAAGCTCACCATCTCTGCGCTGGCGGTCCACTGTGGTCGCTTTTCCCGCACCAGCGCCGATGTAGAGGAAGCCGTCCATGAATGGGAAAGAGTCCGACAGCAGAGCGCAGTCTGACCACTGCTCTAGTCTGGGGAAGTCTGCAGAGACAAGGAGAATCTGTTTAGTGGGAGTTGACATTATTAAATTACTCATTTCCCTTCGACAATTAAAGGAGTTCAACTATAAAGATTAAAAATCTGAATATTGGGTTAGTTCTGAAGAAGTAATCACAACAGAATCATACTTGAATAGAACGTTAATCGCATATAGCCACTCAAAATTCAAAATTCCAACATTGGCAAATGTTACAGCATGATCTATTCTAGGGGATCTGTGTACTTCAACATGACATACCATCAATCAATGTGCATGACTTATTAAATTAACTGCCTGTGTAAAAATATATTTAGCACCTCCAGCCCATTACTTCAATTATACAGACATGATGCCTAAGGCTTTTTAGAATAATATATCCAATTAGTTTACTATGTACAAGACTACCCCATGCCATTGACTATGAGAGATAGTGGTAATCCTATAGGAGGTCCTAGTCACAAATTGTCCTTCAAGCACAAAGCCTGGATTTACTCTTTTATGCGTAGGTACACTTTGCAATAACAAAGTTCTTTCTTCATTCTTTAAACTAGTTTTGACCTTCCAATGTTACCATTTCTTTTGAAGAAACCTCACAATATTATCAGCAGTTCCCACTCAAAGCATAAGAAGTGATTACATATACTGCTATTTATTTAGTCACAGTGTTGGTCAGTGTTTTGAGAAGCAGTAGATAAGCTGTTCTTGGCTTGAAATATATTTCACAGTCTGTTCTTGCTTCATCTTTTGCTATTCTCATTACATGTATACATTATATAGTCAAAAAACACCCCATCTTATCATTCACAAAATTCAATTAGCTTCAATGGTGAGGTGCAATTTTCTTCCCATGCCTTGGTAATATCTCAGATGTTATCTTCTGCACTTTCAGCTCTCATCAAGTCAGGGAAAATAACTTCAAATGAAAATACTTTTAATTGTGTTGGCTTGTCCCACTGCCATGGACAAATCTGTCTTATCATAAGTGACCGCTATTGCCCTGTTAATTTAAGAACATATAGGTGTCAAAGTCATTATATGCATGTATAAATGGAAAAAAAATAGGATTTGTAATAGATTAACATCGACATGCGAAACAAAAATACGTCTCATTTCTCAATATTGTCCTAAATTTCACTCTTCTGCCTTTATTCCATTAAAAGTATCTTACTGTAATGTTATATCCTCTTCACAGACCTGTGACCTTATTTGTAAAGCATGTGTAGTAGTCAAAACCTCTAAGCCTCACGCATCTGAAAAGTTACGAAGAGGAGATTTAATGAATATGGTATGATACACTTAAGTAGCAAACTGCCCATAAACATTAGGCTATAGGCTATGGTTGTAGAATAATTCTTCTATAATAAAGTAATAATAATAATAATAATGCTATAATAAAGGCTATCCGCTATGGTTGTAGAATAATTCTTCTATAATAAAGTTGGAGGTGGCTGATATGGCTGATAAATAAGGCTGGCCATATTCCACACAGAGTAAGCTTTTTTGGGAGTGTGTCATAAATCATTATTTTGAAATGTTTGCATAAATCTCCATTTACTTAAAACATACTAGCTAAGCGCGTTCCCCTTTCACAAACAGTGTTTCTATGAAGAATCACTCGACAATATTTACTGAGAGTTTAGTGGCTTGCTGCTCTTTATTCACTGCAGTGTATTGAGTGACATTAGGACTCTATGGGTTTCTGAGCACAAACATCTGCTTCAAAGTGCTATAATGTTTGTCAATATCATCTCTGTAAATGCAGACTGCGTCGGGCCGTAATCATCTAACTGCAGAAAACAACTTCAGTCTTTTTATTTGTTTTTTTTCTCCCACAAGTATTTTCTTTCTCCTCTTTGCTTGTGAGAATGTAAATAAGCCAAGTGGCTGCAGAATTAAGAGAAGTAGCCTCTCAACAGTCCCTGGAGGGTCTAAAGCTGGACTCAGTAAAGATGAGACATGTGTGGTGGTCTCTTAAAAAGAGGGGTGCCAGTATACAGGCAGCTGGCCTGTGCCGATTGGCCAGGTCCTCAGCAGCAGGAGGTCATGTGACAGTGTACAATTAGCTTTCTGGTTAACTATGGCAATGAGTCTCATCAAGCCATGCAGTGGGGAGGGGACAATAAACATACCAGCGCATTGAAGATAGGAGATGGACAACTATTCATGCTTTACTACTTTGAAAATCTAATAAGTAAGTAAGCAATCTTTATTTATATAGCGCGGTCAGACAGTCAGTCTGACGGATCTGTGAGATCTGTCAGACTATCGTATCCGGCAACAACAGCTGATTAGTGATGCGTCAACACCATCACGTGTCACCTCTGATTAAGGCGGAAGTGTACCGCCAAAACATGTCAGGTAATTAAGCAGCACTAGCTTTCTTTACTTTTCTGTCTTTTAGAAGAACCTCTAAAGCTGGGAGCATTGTGGCTCGTGAGAAGTGAAATTGATTGAGACGCTTTTGAAAAGGAATTATGCCATTGGTGAACTGGATTCACATGCTCCGCTCTGCCCCGGGGCAGCTGTGGCCACGTTGCACTGACAGCCGCTTTGACAACAGCTCAGGGAACTCACATCTGTAACATGGTCTCTGCAGTGCCTGGATACCAAAATTTTCCCCATGCATAAACAGTGCATGTTATGTGTGCACAAAAGTAAAATGTTGTGAACAAATCAAACAGAACACACAACAGGCCATGTTTTTTCCACACAGTTAGTAAGTAAGTAAGTAATCTTTTATTTATATACCGCCTTTTCACTGCACATCGGAGTCTCAAAGCAGTTTACAATTGTTATTTTTGGGAGTGGGCAACTTAGTGCAACTTAGTGCAACTTTATTCCCAAACTTTTGTTAACTCATTGTATTGAGAAACATTAAACAAAGCTCAACATCAAGGCCTGGATGTCTATTTATTCTTTGATGAGAATGACTTTATATTGTGAAAATAGGCTACAGAGTATGTATTTTACATTTCCTCCTGGTGGTGTGGCGTGAGATATTTTCAATGAAAAAAGTGAGCCATAGAACCATAGACTGTGTGCTGCTTATGCTTATGTCACGTTGAGCACATGAGGAGATTGTTTTGTTTTTCCGATGGAGAAGATGTACACCATTTTAACAATATTTAATCCAACTCATTCATGAACCTTGCAGAGTCAAAACTATCTGGAGAAATGCTACAGCAATTGTCCTGGCTACATTTACTTTCATGTTAATGTTCTGCCATTTGAGTCAGCAATAACAACTTATTTGTAGTTGATCTTTATTTAAATTACTTTAATAAAGCAAACATACAAACAATTAAATTACTTTTTGATTACTTTTGTGACAAAGTAATCAAAAAGTAATGTAAAATAGTTAAATTACAAAGTTACTTCTGTAAGAAGTAACTGAGTAATAACTTATGTAATTTGTAACCAATTACTTTTTCAAATTATTGACATCGGTACTCTTTCCCAACACTGAAACAACTAAACTTGGAAAGTGGGTAGTGCACCATTCTAAGTATCTGAAAGGCATAAACACAATGTAAAATCTTGACTTGTTGTAATGCAACATTAAAAGCCTCCATATTCCAACTTTTGAGACTAGACAAGGGATCTCCAATCTCGACAGCAGCACTGACCTTTTGACTTCGCACAGCTCTAATGCAGCCTTGATTTCTAACTTCTAAACAGCATGCCGAGACCAACTGAAAGTGTTGTATGGTATTTTGTGGAGTGTTCTGTTATGGCAAAGTTGGTTAGCCTCAAGGACGCCAACTCACCCCCCGCTGTTCTATTCAATTAACCTGCAGGAAGGAACCGGTCTCCCCCCCGCACCGACAGACATGACGCAAATTACTATCTCACCTTTGCCCCTTTTGCATTTTGCATCTCTATCGGTCCGTATGTCTGCATTTCTATTGACCCTTTTACATTCTGCATGTCTATTGTCCCTTCTGTTTGCATCTCCATGGCACAAAGATTGTCTCTCACCAGGCAAGGCGCCTTGCCATCTGGATGCCCGTCTCAAACTGTGACCCCTCCCACCTTTTGTGGGCGTGACTGTCTTTCATGTGTTGTCTATGTAAACGGGGACCTGGGACTGGCCCCGCCAGAACTGATGTACGCTATTTTGTGTATGTGAGTTCTCCGCACGTGCGTTATAATAAACTTACGCTCCTGATTAAGACAAATACCTTTCCAGCTTTTTCCTTACTGTGGATAGAAACTCCCACGACAATTTGGCGTTGCTGGCACGTTCTATGTCTGATTTTTTTTCCCGGCGTGGAGACGATCGTGTGTTGTTTGGCCGACCTGGATTTACTACAAAAAACCAGCCTCCCTACCTCACTTAGCGTTTGACGAGAAGACGGGAGGGACACCGCTCGCCTCGCGCAGGAAAAACTATTCGACTACAGGACCATAAAAGAACCTGATTTGGTGAGTTTTGTCTTTTCATTTGCGTAACAAGCCCAGGGCAGCGCTTAAAGCAGCCTCTTGTCCTCGTCAAAATGTTTATTATTTAAAGTTAATAATTCGCCCTGTTTAAACAGCATTTTATCTTTATGACTCATGTCTGATTATCCTGTGTCCTTGGGGTTTTTCCTGAGTGCACGGAGGTCTTTCTGGCTATGATGTTCAAATGGTCAAATATTAAAATATACAACAACATTCAACACCTTACAACACATTTAGCACTTTCAGCCCCTTACAACACATTCTTCTTACTTCATCTTCTTCACTTCTTCCTCTTCTTCCCCTTCTTCCTCTTCTTCCCCTTCTTCCTCTTCTTCCCCTTCTTCTTCTTCTTCCCCTTCTTCTTCTTCCTCCTCCTCTTCCTTCTTCTTCTTTCCTCTTCTTCCCTTTTCTTTCTTCTTCCTTCTTCTTCTTCCCCTTCCTCTTCCTTCTTCATCCCTAACCCTTCCAACATCTATGCAGCCACTCACAATGGCTTCAGCCATTGTACCATTTCTAGTTAACCCTGCGGCTTATACAGCGGTGTGGCCAATATGTGTGTTTGTATTGCGATGGAGTGAGATGGGCTGTGTTATTATTTTGACTCCCTCAAGTTTTAGCAGCTATAAGACACTTGTTTATTGTCAAAATAGACTAGTGAATAAGAAAAGCTTTATTTTAAAAGGTAATGGGTGTGGCTTATATACAGGTGCGCCAAATAGTTAGGAAATCATGGTATCTATTCTTAATATCAATACTTGCTCAAAATGTCTAGTCTAAAAACTGGCTTTATACGCTGTTGTTTTGGGTTGTCCAAATACCAGAAAGGAACTTATTATATTTACTTCACAAGTTGTATGTCTCAATTTTTGTTTTGCTTTTTGCTCAAAACAACAATGCTTTCCCCTGCGGTTCCGTAATCATGCATGCTTTTTTTCAAGTTTCAGTCTATTATTTACATTTGACTGAATAACAAATCAGCGTCAAAATTATGATGTTTATATTTCATAATGTAGTGAAAAGTGACATTTCATTACACCTCGGAAACAACAAACCCAATCTCATTAGTTAGTAAGTAATGTATATTTATATAGCGCATTTTACAGACCAAGGTCACGCTTTACAAAACGCTTTACAATGTTCAGAGTTCAGATATTGTTCCACATCATTTCAATCATTCCACACACGGTGATGACGGAAGCGAGTCGCCGAACACACTGACGCATCAACACCATCCATTCACTCTCTCATTAACATTCATACCTATTGTGCATGTTTCTAGTGGTAGGGGAAACCGGAGCACCTGGAGGAAACCTACGCAGACACGGGGAGAACATGCAAACTCCACTCAGAAAGGCCCTGTTCTGACCAGGATTTGAACCCGGGACCTTCTTGCTGAGAACCGAGAGGGCTATCCACTCAGCCACCGTGCCGCCCATTAGTTACAGTGACACATGTTGTGTCTGGCTGTACACAAAACCAACCATATTCACCCCAAACGTTTGATGCCTTAAAACCTGAAACAGAAAACACATTTAATGAGAGATTGTTTCTGGTCAGTAAGAGACTGGGCAGGTTTAAAATGACTTCCACTGGAGTGAGAATACAAAGCCACATATTAGCAGTCTTATAGAGCAGAGCTAATACTCACCACTGCAATACACACGCGTCAGCTAAATTCCTTAAAGTCAGCGCAAAAGCTATTTAGGGCAAGAGACGATGGACTGCAAAAATAGACCAGGTGTGAAAAAGCTCTGCTCTCAAAGCAGTCGACGAGGAGGGAAAGGAGCAGGAGATAAAGGAGGTTCAGGATTTAATAACACATTTAGAAACTGTATATATTGGTCATGTATGAGGGCGCAAAAATCTTGGAAGGTGCACATTTTGTCACAGAACAGGGAATTTGTAAATGTTTGAGAAAGAATGTCGGTCTGTCTGCAAACATAAGTGAAGTATTATGTGAGTGCAGTGATGGACGTAGACACGGTGAGGGGGAGAGGGGTTAAACGATATTCAAATCTCCTGGTAAGGTTTTATCACAATTTTTCAATCGAGCTATACCCAACATTTAAACAACAACAAAAATGATAATAAAATCTGTCCAATCCTGCCCCCTTTCCCACACACACACACACACACATACACTTGTCTCCTCTGTCTCTCTCCCATACCCTGTTCTGGCTATGTTGTTTTTACTGCTAAAAGCAAATAAACTGGATCTGAATCTCATATAATGTATTATTTGTCAAGGGGCAAAAATCATAGGTTCTCCCCTTTAGGCTTTCATTAAAGTGTAAAGCGCTTTGTGACTCATTGTCCTCGAAAAGTACTATATAAACAAAAATTACGTACTCACCTATATTGTATGAGTCATGACTTTGCATCTAAAATATACGGCAGGCTCTACGGCCACAACAACACCTTGAAACCTATTTCTGGGGTGAAAAGTCTGGTGTTTACTTTTACATATTCAATGACTTGTAATTCCCACTGCCACCACTAGAAACCCATGTTGGTTACCCCTTCTGCTGCTGATTTTTCATAGCATAGTCTTTTCCAAACACTGAAATTGTATTCTGATTTGAATTATGAAAAAGGCTGAAGTAAAAGTGGCCAGGTTGATACAAAATAAATCTATAATGCATCTATCTTTTATCCTGGTCATTAGTCATCAGTCATTGGTTGATAATGAAGATGGTTTGTCACTGAGGCTATTGTCATTTTTTTGATTGTCATAAAACACCTGTGTAATTACTTTCTCCCTAGCAATTCTGCAGACTTTAAACCCAGCATGAGGCTAATAAGTCACTCCGTCCACTGTTCAAAATAAATTTGAAAAGGTGTGGAGTTTTTATTCTCAGATCAAACAGCAGGAAATAATGAGGTCTTGTTTACTAATGGCTACAGGCAATGGTTTTTGAATCCAGCAAAAGATGGCCGCCCCGGCTTTGCATGCAAGCTCCAAAGGTGAAAAAATGTGTAAATGATTTGTACAACAGCCGATAATAACCAGCGCTCGCAGACGGGAACCATAGGAAAACAGAGCCAAGAAGATCCGTGTGATTGAAGAGGGAACTATTTGTTGTGTTGCGCCTGTAAAAGATTAATGAGCCATGGAGTCAGAAGAGGAGACACTGACGAGACATTTTTTGATTGAGTTTAGCACTTGTAATATGTTTCTGACAACTTCTGTTTTGATCCTCAGACAAGGATCTGCTGAATGACATCAAAATGGCTATAGTTTGATAGAGAGGTGGCGTGATGCATTGGTGAACAGTCAGTTTTTCTGGTCAACACACACACACAATTTGATGCCAGTGAAATTTTGGCCTTTTGGAGATTTATTTTACAAAATCTAACACAAATTTCTTATGACACCACATATTTTTTTCCCAGTTTTTCAAGAATTTTAAGCAACGGAGACAGGGATATTATATTCAGGCCAATTCAAGTGTTTGTCTAGTGTTTGTCATTCTCCAGAAGTATCATTACCAGGGGTCGACCGACATTTTCAGGTACATAATCAATTGTAGTCAAAGACGCAGTTATCTGATATATAGAGCAGATATGAATTTGAAGTTTTCATTCATAAAAACGTTAACATGTTTCTTTGTTATTGAAATATCTGGAGGATTTGTTAACATGAGAATGTTTTATGTGTCCAGTTTGTTGTGCATCCTGTTTAGCTTCACCTTTCTTCTTCTTCTTTGGTTGTTCAACTGCGAGTGCAAACTAGTATAGCTCATTACCGCCACCCAGCTTCACTTTTCAACACAGGTGATCAGCCACACCTGTTTTTAATCAACATGGACTACACATGGCGGGGGGACTACAGGACAGGGAGGAAAGAGACGGAGGGTTAGGACGGCTGAGGCTGAGGCTGAGGCTGAGGACAGGGCCGTGATGATGTAGAGGCGAGCTCCGAGGATGCCGCATGGGAACTATCGACAGGGGAAGTAGGAAGCTCTGCGGTGAATGGGGAGAGCGCTCCAAGGCAGGCAGATAGAGCACTCCAAGGCGGGTAGATGGAGCCCTCCAAGGCGGGTAGATGGGGTGCTCCAAGGCGGGTAGATGGAGCCCTCCAAGGCGGGTAGATGGAGCCCTCCAAGGCAGGTAGATGGAGTGCTCCAAGGCGGGTATAGAGCGCTCCAAGGCGGGTAGATAGAGTGCTCCAAGGCGGGTATAGAGCGTTCCATGGTGGGTAGAGCAAGCGCTCCAAGGCGGGTAAATGGAGCGCTCCAAGGAGGGTATAGAGCGTTCCATGGTGGGTAGAGCGAGCGCTCCAAGGCGGGTAAATGGAGCGCTCCAAGGAGGGTATAGAGTGCTCCAAGGCGGATAAATGGAGCGCTTCAAGGCGGATAGATGGAGTGCTCCAAGGCGGGTATAGAGCGCTCCAAGGCGAGTAAATGGTGCGCTCCAAGTCGGGTATAGAGCGTTCCATGGCGGGTAGATAGAGCGCTCCAAGGCGGGTAGATGATGCGCTCCAAGGCGGGTAGATAGAGCGCTCCAAGGCGGATAGATGGAGTGCTCCAAGGCGAGTAAATGGAGCACTCCAAGGCGGGTAGATGATGCACTCCAAGGCGGGTAAATGGAGCACTCCAAGGCGGGTAGTTCATGCGCTCCAAGGCGGGTAGATAGAGCGCTCCAAAGATGCCGCATGGGAAATATTGACAGGGGAAGCAGGAAGCTCTGAGGTGAGTAGGCAGAGCGCTCCAAGGCGGGTAGATGGAGTGCTCCAAGGCAGGGCATGAGGATGTTGAGCCAGTTCGTTTGTACCTACGAGCTCCATGGACACACATCCAACGACAGACAGATACTGTATGTGCACATGACGGACAGAAGCCTCCGCCTGAATCTGTAAGCTCCTGATGCATGGAGTTTGAATGAGCCTTCATACTGTAACTTTTTGGAGCCAAGTCTTCCTTTACCTGGACCCTACCGATCACATCTTCTTCAAATTACTTTCCAACTTCCAACTGTAAGAAAATGAATAATGCAAAGCAGCAGAGAATAGGTCATCAATGTTTCATGCTCCCCAGTTTAGCGCCGCCACCTGTCGCTAATTGGAAATGACGGAGATACACTGACTGTGAGAGGCCAAGTCTTTGAAGAGGTCTGTTTTCATATTGAATGCTTAACCAGCACCTGCGAGTGTCTGGGCTGTACGATAGGCCGCAGACTTGGTGCCACAGCGAGACTTCTTAATCCTGTGAGCAAGTTTCCAAAAATATTAAGCAAGTGTTAGTGGCCAGAGAAACATTCTCAATGCACTTACAGTACTTGTATAGGTATAACTCACATAATATACTGTAGACACAATTTTAGGAATGATTTTGTTGATGTGATGTGTGTGAGAAATGTTTTTTTCAGCTCCAAAGCCGCAATAATGCAGTCTTTTTGTTCTAGCAAAAGACTGCAGTGTGACAAGTTTGTCTCATAATGTAGGAGGTATCAAAGTGTTTTAAATGTTGTAACACAATGCAGTATGTGCTTTCTATCTTGCCACAAAGAGTGGCAATAATATAATTATTAATTAATTATTAATTATTATTAATTATTAATTATAATAATAATAATAATGCATCGGTTTTATATAGCGCTTTTCTGGACACTCAAAGACGCTTCACATGTGTCATTATTCATTCACTCCATACACGGTGGTGATAAACTACTACTGTAGCCACAGCTGCCCTGGGGCACACTGACAGAAGCGAGGCAACCAGTATGTGCCATCGGCCCCTCCGACCACCACCAACCATTCACACACACACTAGACTCATTCTAGGCAATGGGGGTGAAGTGTCTTGCCTAAGGACACAACGGCAGTTTGGCACTTTACAGCCGCAGCCGCCCCACTGTGGCTGGTGTTCCCACAGGTTAAGTGTCTTGCCAAGGACACAACAACAGTAGTCAGTGGGAGTCGATGGTGAAAGTCCTGAGCGGGGCTTGAACCCACGACCTTCTGGCTCAAAGGCCAACGCTCTACCAACTGAGCTACTGCCGCCCTAGCTTTATTCACCGAAGGTCATATAATCCCTGACATCTCTACATACAACTATATTTTACTTGCACTAGAATACACAGTTTATACTTGCTCCTTAAAATGAAAACAACAGGGGTTTTGTACTTAAAGGTATATAAATATAGTTAATATTAATAATTCATAATTAAAATAATACATAATTTTAAGAACGAACTGCCCCCTCTTCTTTTTGAACAAAACTCTGGTCATATTTGACAATTGACAATTGGAAGGACCAATAGTCTTGATGATCCACCCTGAAGTAGAAAATCCTCCTATATACTTCTAACTATGCTAAAGATGGAGATTTTATCCTGCCTCTTTATATGCTAGCGTTAGTGATTTTGTTTTAACGTAGTATTGTGTAGAGTTCTTGCACTGTGTGCTCCCCAATCCTACCGTGTGTAACTGGTGATGCAACAGTGACATTTCCCCATTATTGGACAAATAAAGGATCTCTTAATCTCAATATACATGCTCTTTGTTGATACAAAATAATGCCAAGACTTATATCCCACATTCAAATGTAAATTTGAGGATTCAAATATTTCTAGCTCAAACAAATGCCCCCAACTGAGCCTATTGCTTGTCCACAATACCAAAAGTCATCTTGTTTCTTCACCAAACAACACTTTGGTCAGAGGGTCAAAATAAGCTTGCAAATGGAAAAGTTGTGCTCTTTGACATGAAGACACACCGGAGCTCTGCGCGGCTTTGAGATGGTATCAACAGAAGCCGTGATGAGAAGATTGAATTCGATTTTACTCTTGGCTCAAGCTCGTGGCGGGGTTATATACTTAGTCATACCACGACACAGCTCCTAATGGGCCGGAGAAGCGATGTACTGATATCCCTAATTGATGGATTAGAAGCACATAATTCCCCACAGAGAGGATGATCAAGAAAGAGAGGGAGCGGGTTTGAACACGACCTGAGCGGTTAATTGAATAGGGAAATTCCTGCGCCATTTTATTTTAATGAGACAGCTAAGATGCAGAGAAGGAAGAGGTGATGAAAGTGGGGAAGGCTTAAGAAGAGAAATGGTGCGATAAACAAGCTACTATATGCAAATAAACAGGATGACTTGATGGGTGCAATAGCTGTTGGATTGATTCGATGTTGATGCTTTATAGACGGGGATCTTGGATTAGTAAGACTTTTCAAAGGTTTTTAATCAGAATAGGATGATAACACAATAAAATAAATACGTGACACTACAAAGGTTCATTTCCTGTTTAATTTGTATTTTGCTGCTCCTGTATCTTTAGTTCTAATTTCTGTTTGTAAATACCTGCCGTGTGTATTTTGTGTATTTAAACCCTGTGTCGTCCTTTACTCCCTGTTCCTTCATTGTCATTCCACTTCTGTTTTAACTCTTCTCCTCCATCCCAGTTTGGTTGCCTTTTGCTGTTTACCCTGGATTTTGCGTTTGTATTTGCTTTTATTAAATCTATTACATTTTGCAGTTTTGCGTTTTTGGGCTAATCTCATTTTACTCACATGGCACATCAAGGCACTAACATGAATGTGCGTTAGAATGTTCTGTGCTGTGTTTCTCTCCTTCCTGTGTGCATCTATAACAAAACTTCATGCTGCATTATCACAGGTTCAGCACAGAAAGCTCCACCGTATGGACCACAATCCATATTATTAAATATGTTATGGTTTGCATTATGCTAACTCCTTGTCCTGTCTTACTGTGATGCCCTATTCATATGGCTTATGGATTGTGCAATTGTCTGCAGATATTACCAAATGTATGAGATCAACATGCTCAGTTTTACTCATGCAGTGTGCACTGTGCATATGATATTCTCAAGTCTGACAGGAAATCTCGCATAACATTTCACAACTCCATATTCAATAAAAATGGCCACGGAAATGAAACAAGTTTTTAGTTTTCTTGGTCTGTGGCATGGGGACTGCAAACATGTACTGCAGGACTAATTTTTCAAGCCGCCATGTCACCTCTCCGCTGCGACAAGTGGCTTTTTGATTGGCTACATGTCACAGTCAACAATTTCATACTTGTTTTTTTATGTGTGGCGTCCCCAAAGGAAAACAAAAAACAAAAACAATGAGAATTTGGGCCATAACAATCCAACTTGTTGAATATCTGCCATTTGAGATTTGAGCACACCACACAAGGTCACAATATCTTGAGAGATTATTTTACGATGAGGGTCACAGTCGACCTTGTCATCTTGCAAAAAACGTTGTTTTGGCTATGACTCACAATCCTTGATTTGATTTTGTTTTTTTTCGCCAAACCGTCAAAATCATGCAGTGGACACCTGGCTTCAGAGTACCAGAGCCAAACGGGATTCAACCTGTTATGGAAGATTTGGGCTCTCAGGTCACCCTCGGAGCCCTTAAACGGCTGGGGACGTTTCACCTAAAACAGCGGAGAAAGGTTGCACAGCTTCACAGCGAGTGTATTGTGTGGAGGAGACAGCGCGGCGCTCATGAAGCCTCTTTCATCTGCCCCACACAGCTCCAGCTCCATACAAGTGTCCGCCCATCATTAAGCATCAAAGACCTGCACACAACTAATCCCCTTTAAACACACCTTCACAACGCCGCGCCGCACAGACAATGCACCTCCAGCTGTGCACCACTTACCTCAACAACCATCAAAGCAGCGGAGAGATACAACGTGTTTACCAATGTTTATCACCATCACAAGAAGATTATTTATTTATTTATTTAGAAGTAAAGTCGATTCAACTGCATTAGCCACAGCTGCCCTGGGGCACACCGGGAGAAGCAAGGTAACTAGTATATACCATCAGCCCTGACCACCACCAACCATTCACACACACACCAGACTCATTCTAAGCAATGTAGGTGAACACAGTTTGGCCCTTCACAGCGGCAGCCGCCTCACTGTGGCACCTGATGTTCCCAGAGGTCTCCCATCACAGTACTAAACAGGTCCTGCCCTGCTTAGCTACATGCAGGTGGCCCCATTTAGATAGTCAAAGATATATTTTAAATTTTCAACGATTCAAAGCAATTTACAAAAATATGACATAACATTGGTCAATGAAGAAAATGACATATGTAGATGCACCAGGAGCAGGTCCTTATTAAGATTAAGATTAAGAGATCCTTTGTTTGTCCCACAGTGGGGACATTTCGGTGATGCATCACAAGTTATAGAACAGTAGGAAAGAGGAGCACACGGCACACGTTAAGTGAACAATAGTTATGTGATCAAAGAGACGAAATATATCAATGTGAAAAAAAATCACATAAAATGTGTGACGTTTTGGATTAGTAATTTGTTTACTTTTAGAATGCATACTTACATTGACCAGAATTTAGCAGCGATGAATAAAGACATCTATCAAGTTGCAGAGAGATGAAAAGATACGTTTTCTGTCTCCATTTTCACCTGCGAGCTTTTGATGAATGTTCTGACACTGACTTACGGGACATGTAAAACAAAGGTCAGCCGTTAGCCAGGACTAAACCCATTTCCATCTCAACACATGACAAATGGACTCGGTTCTTGCAGTGCTGTAGAGAGAGTCTCTCTCAATCTCTTTTGCACCTACTTGTGTCCCTGCCTGAAAACCCATGAATACATAATTCAAAACAAAGATATTTCATTTTATAACTGAATATTTATCTGTGCGTGCGCCCTTACCACCCACCTGCACCTCAGACGGAGCTCATAAAACACTACAAGCTGGAGTGCAGTGTGTAGACGGTGCTCTTGTCT